TATCGGTACGGCTCGTGAAAACGGGGTTGCTATGATGCGGACGACAAAACGTTGCTAAACAAAAAACGACTCTCTTCTGTTTATTACTTTTTCCTCTATTCTTGTTTTGTTTTCGCCAACCCGAACCTCACACATTATTGTTGTAGCTCATGTCATTCACTCACTCGTCCCATTGTGGCTGTTTTGTCGGACAACTGGAATGCGTACCTTTTGTACATAACGTGTTCATCGGGTATGTGTCTTTTCTATGCCATACTGTGTGTGTATGCTTGTATGTACAAACCCCGGATTAGCTTACAGCGCCATGTGGAGAGAAACAACACACACTCACACGTTCACATTCGTGTAGAGCCAATGTATATAAAAACAAAATACTGTAGTACAATACTATTTACGACTCCGGTGTTGTCTCTCATGGAATCGTCCAATTCGATGCACCGACCACCGAGACAGAGTAATGGCTGGGATTCTATTACTCTAATTATTCACAATGACCTATCCGTGATTGTGTGACGGGAGGGGGGATGCTTTTCGTAAGCGCATATGCTCACTTTTCCGTCAGGGAATAAATAAGTTGATCATCCGTTACCCAGCAAGCAAAAGATGTGAAAAAACTGCAGGCAAAAGTGATTGGGCGTTGATCGAAAAAGGGAAACGAGGCTGTACCGAATATCAAGTATGATTATTTGCTATTATCTTCTCGTTTAAATTCAAAGCAGTTTGACCAGAATGGTTTCGTAAAGGGTTAAACAACAATTGGGGATACGCTTACGCAACATGACTATGAAAACTTGGGTCAAGTCGACTGGATTACGTGACCAAATCATCAGATATTTTGCGACTAAGGACGATAGATTTCGTACTTCTGCTTCCAATATTGGGTCAAGTTGCTCTGTCTATTCTATCAACCACTTGGGGCATGTGGTGCGCCAAACATCGATTCACTTATCCAGGGTGTCACTACAGCTGCGACGAAACTAACGGATCAATACGGCTCTTAGACTGGTTATGGAGTAATTTTCATGGTTTGCATCACACCCAGCTGGTTATCAAGTTGGCCTGATCCGAGTATTCAAAGTGAGCTTACACAACCAAAATTATTGACATTCTTGAATGGGAATTCGGTCATAAAACATAGACCAGCCCTTGAACACCGAAATCACTAAACCGAAATATAAACCAACCACACTGTGCTTATGAAATGGAAGGTTAGTGCTTCGAGTAGAATCTACGAAACATAACCAAGAAAAACTTTATTTCGGTGCATCCCTTTGAAATCGGTAAACCTCGATTTTCCATTTTTCAATAGATGGGATTGGACATGTTAGACATAGAGTACCTAGATAGTTGTTTTCCACAAGGAAAGTATTTTGGAGATGCGAATTGCGGGTAACGCCACCTCGGATTCAATGGGTAAACGGACAACACGTGACCAAATAAACGTCGGTTTTTATTATAGTCCGACAGAGTCAAGGTCTGAGGTAACATCTGGTCAATAGTGAGCAACGCTCACCGCCACACAAAGGCCATTGGCGCTCACGGAGTGTCTATGACTACGACTGCTATGGTGTGGAATATAACTCGACGGCCGTTGATTCCGGATAAACCGTGAGTGTAAATGTTGAGCTCCACAGATGCTCCCTTACTGAAAAGAAATTTTCTTCGTAAGCCTAGTACTCATGACATCCGACAAAAGAACTTCGTTAATCTAAATGGTATATGTACATAATACTGCACCAATCTTTACACATACGGGGCCAAAGTAGCCAGGTTTGGAGAGAACACAACAGGATCGGAACGGGAGAGCATCGGTTTTGAGATGGGGATAGCATTATTTTTCTTACTGCACGTCATTCCAAATTTCGTTGTGCGATTGCAAACATGCATTCACATCACTGACTTCAACTCAATGCCATACTCCCTAAGAGTGTCCAACCGACGACAATCTGAATATTTGCGGACCAGGTGCAAACAGTTTTTTCAACCCTCTACACCAGGTTCTTTGTTTACTCATCTCACTGTTTCTTACAGTCTGCTGCACGGTAGGGCAGACGCATTCAAGAATCTACCATTGATTCCTAAGTCTCTTAGAGCTCATATTTTTCTTTGCGGATTGTGAACAACAAGTTCCGCGAATAGTCTGCTACAAGTGAAGCCTGATCTGGTATTGCAGCAAACACCTTTTGAAGCAACTGTATCAAGACTACGTCAGACTGTAAAAATAAGTGAGTGGGAGTCGTAATAAACTGTTGGAAGGCGGGCTGCACCAACCGAAGCCAAAGTTGAAGCTAGCTTCATCATACCTCTATCCCATATCATGGTTTGACCGCCGCGAAGTTTCCTCCAGTTCAGTTCAGTTTAAACAACCATTAGCCATGCACTTTCGTGCGCCGGTTTTGGTTGCTGTCTTTTGGCTGCCCGTTGGGATGAAAAACAGGAGAAGAAAGGTAAGTTGAAAGTGGAGTCGAAAAGAAAATGGAGAAGTTCGGTGGTCTAAGGTTAGAAAGAAATTGAGGAGATGCACGAACGCCACTGTTTACGACACCCAGCCATATCACTCAGTGTCTCTAACCATCGGGTACGATCATCCTGAGGTCCCCAGCCAGGGAGCCTAACAGGACCNCCTATGTGACCCAGTTTCCTAGTCAGTGTTTTCATACCCTCGTGCTAGGTCTTAACTTGACCACTCTTGGCTTTTTCCACTCGGTATCTGCTTCGGTGAACATCGCTCGCCGTGATAACCTACCTGATGACAGGCGTAACACATGTCCCACCCAACGTAATCTATGGAGGTCGATCACTTGCTCCAGTGGGCGACCGTATTTACCTAAAACTCTGCCCTTAACCTCAGCATTGCTCATCCGGCTACCCCACCACATTCGTGCAATGCTGCATAGACAGCGGTGTTCAAACACCGACAGTCTATCTTTGTCCTGTTTTCTTAATGGCCAAATTTCTGCACCGTATAGCAGGACTGGCCGAACTGTCGCGGCATACACTCGACCCTTCACAGACAGCCGGATATACGACGGCGCCACAGCTGTCTCAAGTTAGCAAATGCCAACCGAGCTTTTTTGTATGCGCGCCGACAGTTCATCTGTGATGCGTCCGCCGGGTGAGATATAGCTGCCTCTGTATGCGAGCTGACACTTCATCCGTGGTGCGTAACTTATCTTACTTACTTTACTTTACTACAGTTGGCTCATTGGAAAGGATAAACCAGCTCCATGAATGTCCCTGATTGCCACGGTAGAAGACAAAGTTATGAAGTTACTTGGGAGTTTGGTACGAAAGATATCCCCAGCGTCACTGGGCGATTTTTTTATTTTGAGGACGCATCTCTCGCCCTTGCACAACCAAGTGCAAACTACAAGGCACCAGGAAACAATCCCTAGCCTCGGAAGTGAGGGTTTTATTGACTTTAGTTTTAAAAGGCCAATCACATTGGCCTTAGTCACGATACCGTCATTAGGTTTATGTGGCTTTTGAACACAAACCAGGTGACCAGCTTGAAACCCACCACACCCTGGTAGTGCCACCGCTGTTTGTTCTCTACTGCTTATTTGTTGTGGTAAACCACAACTTATTCACAGCTAACCTTCAGTGAAGATATCCCCTTATCCACAACCCGGGGAAGCGCCTGGTAACATTCAGCTCTGCTTAACCCGAGGGTATCCAGGGTTATCTTGTATAAGTGGTGGATAAGTCGAGGCTTGGTGGTGATATAAAAAGAGGTGCAAGTAGAAAAATAAATGTGCGTTTATTTTTCCCCGTCAGCGCACAAGTTTGCCCAAAAATCGATCGAAGGAAATGGGATTTGTTTAAATGACAAAAAGAACGAACATATATATATATATATATATATATATATATATATATATATATATATATAAAGACAGAGATGATTGAGAGTCCAATGGCAAAAGGCATGTTATACAGTTAAACCTGAGTTCATGAGGAGCCTGTTACTTTTTCGGTGGACTGGTGACTATGATGATGATGATAAGCAGCACGCTCCGTGTGAGGAAAATGGGCTTTGGTCCACTCGGTCAGTCGTTGTTCGTCTTGTTGAACAAACTGACGAGTTTTTGCACATTGCGGATTGGTACAGAGTGGACAACGAAGCAAGTACTGACGTGAGCAGGTCTCGCCTCGGCGCAGATGTTTAGCGACCAATTCAGCCAGACCCTACGGTGTGGATAAATGAATGAGACAGATGGATGGGGTTGGGGTAATAGTGTATGCGTAAAGGAGCAAATGGATGAATATAAGAAAACAGAAAACTACGGGGATCTTCATTGTGCAGTATGAGCAGAATTTCTCCCAGCCCGTCAGTTTATTTTTTTCGCGAAGTTCCGATCAATAAAGCGTTTAGAAGATGAACAGAAGATATATTCCATCAATAATGTTCATCGCCTTGGCTATTTTTGACCGATAGAAATTCAACGTTGTGTGTACGATAGACCACAATTGAGGTTACGCGCCTCGGAGTGGCGGAGCACAACTTCGCTGAAAGCAGTGACCAATCGAACGTCGAAATAGATCATAAGGGGAATCACGCTGTGTACACATGTAATATTGCGCACAAAGCAAGTAATGAAAGCACCAAACGATGCTCTAGGTATCTGATGGATTTGGGATTTCTAATTAGACACCATTTGTGAATATGCCGTGGAAATCTGTGTGATAACTCAAAAAGAGCACTGCCTGTTTGGGACTCAGCAGCACTGTGTACTTTTTGTCAAGACTCGAACCACGAACCTTCCAGTTGCCATCGTGGGTATTCTGTTTTACTTATCCAAGTTGACCATTACTTCTTTCAATGTGGACCTCGAGTGAATAAGACGCGAACCTTCAGTTAGACTTGTTCATCTTCATTTCAGGTGGACGACTGATATTAACTGGCCGCATTTGTCCAGTTGATCTAGAGGTTGACAGGATTAGCGTCGATGGGGAACAGCTGAACTGAGCCTCGAACCGTTCAGCCTATCTTTCAAGACGGCGTTGTTGACTGTGAATCAGTGTACCACCAGACTTTTCAGTTACTTTACTTACGATTATTTTCCTGCGACCTGTATTCCTAACAAGACGGAAAAGATTGCGACTATTGCTGATAGCTGCAGCCTCTTCAATATCACCAAACATTCCTACCCATCACTTGTCGTGGTCATTCTGTAGGCTCTTGAAAAACTGGCGTTTAAGGGATTTGCGCGCTGTGCCAAATTTAGCATGAGAACGAATGGTTGCGTTGGAACTCAGCAAGGCAGCCAAGGTCGACTATATCCATCGTTTGCATTCTGATCGCGCGCCAGAATCTGCCGTTGTTGTGACTGACACTTGGATGGTTTCCCTGACCAACATTTAGTGTTCACTGAGCCCTTCAGTGGTTGGTTGAGCTGAGGAGAGACTGACAAAAGATTACCGGATACATGTGTCTGACGAGCGGCAAGAACAGCGAAACCGGTGGTGCGCTGCCAAGGAAATTCGTTCTGTCATGCACATACTACTCATTGTGATAAATATACATATATATCACCAGCTTGCGAGCAAGCTTGGTGCTAACGCAACAACAGTGATAAGAGGGAAAGGGGAATGGTTAGGGATAGAAACAGGGTAAAAATGTGATCAAACAGATACGGTGAATAACAAGAATAACGACTGTTTGCTTCTTCCACTGTACACTTATTGATATTATTTCGCATTAGTTTATTGCTTTTATGGGGCACACAATTTCATCAGGCAAACTGTACAGCATTTGCACCACTGACTTACATTACGACAGATATTTCTTAGCGTCTCTAACCAACAACAATCCTCATCCAACCTGGAAAGAGAGCTGCACCAACCGAAGTCAAAGCTCTACACCATGCCGCCGTTGTGCTTTTTCCAGCCTTGCCAAACACGTACAAGAAGAACAAGGAGGGGTAGATTATGGGTAGGCATACGAAATACGTGACCAAGCCATCAGAGACGGTGTAGAGCGATTACTTCTGCTAGAGAGCGACCATTCACACCTAACACATGACGACGTACCTCGTCATTACTCACTCGGTGTTCCCACCA